GGAGACAGAGACACGAATCCAGGACCTCGGAAATACGAAACAGACGTGTCCTCAACTCGAACTCGGCGCTCACTAAGGCAGAGTGAAGGTTTAGTCGTCTTCCTGTTATTACGAACTTAATTAACTTGCTCTGTAGGCCGCCAGGGCCGATCACAGTGGCCGACCGCGCGGTCTAAAGCATGAACCGTCTTCGCCTGCTTGGACGTTGGTATTGTGGGTTTGAATCCCATTCGAGGCATGTATATCTGTGTGCATTTATTCTATGTTTGTATAGTTCTGCATGCAGGTAGCGCCCTTGCAACGTGCTGTTCCCCCGTCCAAGTCCTGCCACTGTCTATAGATTAAGAAACTGAAAAAGCGGTCAAGGTCCACAAGGACTGCAGAGCCATACATAGATAGTGCCGGAGCAGGGATATAGAGGTCTTAACCTGAACACCCCAGGATGTGATACTGTGCTGCCTGGTAAGGGCTATCACACCCCTCAGGGAGCGGTGATAAATTACTATGGAGAAATTGTGGAACGATGACTAGAAGGGGAAAACAAGAAAATATGAAGAAAAGCTTGCTCCAATGCTGCTTCTCTCATCGTTTCACATGACGTCAGCCGGAACTGAACTTGGGGCTCCGCGGTGAGAAGCCATCACCTAATCGGTGTGGCACAACGTTCTTCCTGGTATTTAAAGTGAAGCTATCACCTGTAATAGGCCTTGGAGGCCCATAGGATTGCGAGACGTCGAGTCTCCCACAATCGGCTCACAAATGGCGGTGAAGATGTCAGGCTTACGCGACGGCCGCCCTTTACCCCCAGGAAGATTCCTGGTACTCATTTCTGTTAGAGGTTGAGTCGACCCCAGGGCCATAGTGCGGCTGGAAGGATTAGGTAAACTGAAAAAAATTCACCTCATCGGGATTCGAACCAGCGACCTTCTGGCTTATATCATTCTTAAAATCAAAATATGTAGAAATACGGATATAATTTTATCGCTAGTTCTGTATACGTTTGAAATTTGAACTCTCTCATCAAGAGAAATGCATAAACTGTTATTAGAAATGAATATAAGGAAAATATTTGGACCTAAGATGGAGGCAGTGACAGTAGGATGAAGAAAATTACATAATGAAAAGCTTCGTAATTTATACTCTTCACCAGATATTTGTAGAATAAATCGAAGATGATGGGATTAACCAGGCATGTAGAACGCATGGGAAATGGAAATGTTGCATACAAAGTTTTGGTAAGAGAGCCTGTAGGAAATTATCACTAGGAAACCGAAGGCGTAGATGGGAGGACACTATAAAAATGTATCTCAGAGGCGTAGGATATGAGATTGTTGACCAGTGGCGCGTTCAGTAAAATGCTGAGAATTTGTGTAGCTGAGAAACTGTGACCTTCTGAAGATGGTCTGTGCTTCATGTAACTAGCAGCTTGTCTCTTGAGTGCCAGTTCCAGATCTTGACCCGGAGCCCGACCGTCCCTGGTGTTCGTCATTTTCTCCACGCAGACTCAGTGATAATACCTCAAAATACGCCACGGTTGTTTCCTTCCACATCCCTTCCAATTATTTTTATTATTAATCCTATAATCTGAGCTGTTGAAAGCGTCGGTAAATAAGCGACAAATATATAGAGATTTTCCCTTTGTCCTTGTACCCTTAATTACTTTAGTTTTGTCTTTATCTTTGCAGTCCTTTCTTTCGCTCATTCAGTATTCTTCCTTTCGTGTTTCACTTTCCCTCTTTCATCATTTCTCTCGTTTCTCTCTCTGTTTTCATGTTTTCTTTGCGGCACCATTTTGTTGTGCTAGGAGACGTATGCGCACTGTCCACTGTTCCGTCGCTTGTGCGAAACCCATCGGTATAGCGTCAGCATACGTTCGCATTCGGTGCCACCGGTTGAACGAAACTGAAATGGCAATTGTATTGTCATCGTTCGATGTAGACCAGCAGCTGTCGCAACACCAGACAGCAGCACCCGAGGGAGTCTGTGTCTTGTGTCACGCAAAGTAGAGCACCTTTCAGGCAATTGTTTTGCCAATGCCTTCTTTGCAGTTTCTCATACCTCACTGGCCTTCATGTTCGTTTATTGTGCATAGGGTCAAATCACTTCTCACTCTACAAGATGTCCATAAATGCCCTGTCTGATTTATTGTAATAGTAGCACCTTTTATGTTTTGCACGACGAAACTGGTACTTGAATGTGCAGGAATGTGCGGTAGTATCACTTCGGATCCGAAGGAGAAAACCTTCGCAAGCCTTGACCTACAGAAAAATCAGTTCCTGATATCCGTGATAGGAAAGCACGCGTAGATAGGTATCTCCGAACACCCAGAAGCTTGTCAGATATTTTCAATATCAAGTGAAAATTGTGTTATCTTAATTTGGGTTTATTTTATTGCGTGCGGCATATTTTGTAAGCGGAGAGTTTTTAGAGAGAATGCTGCTGAGAAAATACAACTTGGGCTCCTCGTAAGGTAAGTTTTGGATTGGACTGGTAATTAATTTCGCTCCACACAGCGGAGTCCTTGTTCAGAACCAAATAATCGCTCGGGTAATCAAATAATCGTCATGTCCTTTGTTGAACTCGAGGCTCGTTTCTGTTTTCATTGCCATCAGTCCTACTGAGATAAATGAATCAGTCCTCTTCATCAGGTGCTATATTTTTAATATTATCCTCCTGTCCAAATAGTCTGTCGGCCCAAATTTTTACATATTTCTGTGTGTTACATGACCCACTGATCTGTTCTTTCTTGATTAGGTCATCGTGTCGCTTCCCCCGTCTGCTGACCTTGGCGGTCTTCTCTCAGCCTCTGGGGCCCACTCAGCCTCTTATACAATGGGTACCGGGGATAAGGCGACCGGGGCGTTAAACTGAGCACTCACCACCTAGTTCCTACTTGTAAATCAAGAATCTTGGAGCTATACCTCTGCTTCCCCATACGCCTTCATGGCATAATACCTTCTTTTACATGTTATAACGGATGCCTATACATACATTAAAACTGTCACAGTGCCCGCGCGGTCTAAGGCATGAACTGTCTTCGCTCGCTCGGACGCTGGGATCGTGGGTTCGAATCCCACTCAAGGCGTAGATGTTTGGTGTATGTGTATGCCTTTATTCTGTATTTGTGTTGTCCTGTGTTTAGGTAGAGGCGCCTTGCGACGGGCTGATCACTCGCCCAAGGAGCCGTACCATCTGTGAAAAATGATTACGGAACTGAATAAGAGGCCAGGGCCCTAAATGTGCTGAAAGAGCCATTGAAAAGAAATACATACAATAAAGCCTCGTTAACACATTGAGACATAAATAATATTTTCAAATTCAATTCTCACCTCACGGAAACATTAAATGACCAACCGATTAATGTTGTACAGGGAAATAATCGCTGTTTATTATCAGAACCAGACAAAACATATAAATACATACTGTGCATAAAATTCAGTTTTAGTTTTCAATTTTTAAGCGCCATGTTAGTTGGATCGTTTTTCACCACGGCATGGCGCGTCCTCAGGTTGCGGATGGAGGAGACGGCCTACAGGTATGGAGGGTAGCTGCGAGTATATTGAATAAGCAGTCGCGGATTGCCGACAAGAGATGATCATGTTGGGGCTTGGGCTAACAACTCCTCGCCGTAAAAATAACCTTCTTATGAAAGATCACAAGAAGGCTCAAGTCAAGTAGGATGAAATGGGCAGGGCAGGTAGCACGAACTGAGGCGAAGAAGAATGTATATAGGATATTGGTGGAAAGCCAGAAGGAAAGAGACCACTAGGAAGACCAAGACCTAGGTGGATGGACGATATTAAAATGGATCTTTGAGAGATAGGATGAGATGGTATGGACTGGATCGATCTCGCTCAGGATAGGGACCAGTGGAGGGCTCTTGTGAACACGGTAATGAACCTTCGGGTTCCATAAATTGCTGGGAAGTTCTTGAGTAACTGCACAATTACTGGATTCTCAAGAAGGGCTCATCTCCATGAGTGAATTTTGAAGCCACTGGCACATCAAATTGCAGTTATGCTTTAAACGGTTAAGTAAACCAGGGAAAGAAATGGACGATGGAATACTCTTAGCTGTCATATGTTGGCAACCCTGGGCGGACTGGTGATTCAGGGTCCTAAACGTCGGTAATATTTTACAACACTAGAAGGCGTCTCGTCCCAGAAGACAGTAACCTTCATAGTCAATGCTGTGAGAGCCTCATATTTTGACACATCCTGACAATAATTGAAATACGAGGGAGAGTCAGGAACTAGGTCACAAATGGAAGTAAAACAGCTGTAGTGAACATATCTAGTTTTCTGTATGTATCACTAGGTAGCAGCACAGTTCAGCTTCATGGCAGTCTAGGTAGGAGACGCGCATGCTCATATTCGGAGGCTGGTTTCAGTAGTCAAAGTGGGGACCGTGCTTCAGGAGAATACTACCGAAAAGCAACTTTCTGTTTCCCGTTTTTATGGGCAAAAGAACTCACTACAAAGGATATTCATACAGAAACATTTCCTGTTTACGGTGGGAAGTGTTTGTGTCGTAAAATGGTTCACAGGTGGGTCTAGAAATTCTCGCAAGGATGAAGAGGTTGAGACGGATGTGCGGAAGTGGCTGAGACAACAGTCAAAATGCTTCTATGCTGTGCGTTTCGACGCACTGGTAAAGCGACGGGAAAAGTATATCAGTGTTGGTGGAGGATATGTCGAGACATAAATGTTTTATTTTCCGAGGTTCGAATATCACATGTTTTACGTTTTGTATCCACTTGAGACCTGTTTACTGACTCTCCCTCGTATGTTTTGGAGGTCGCCCAGCGTTAAGCTGCTATGAACTTCTCAGTCCTGTTGATCACCTGTTCAAAGAACACCCTGTATTTTATCAGTAATATCCCAACGTGTATCAGTGAAGTAGGTAGGTCACCCCAAATGAACCACAGTATATTTGTAAGTAACTTTATTTATTTACATTAACAATATATTATAATTGGTGACTATAGAATGGGAGTAAATGTGTTACATAAGTGCAAACCCGTAGTGGATCAATGAATCAGGGCAGTTGCTTAGCCGAAAAGGGCCTTGCCGTATGGGGCAGCATAGGCTGCAGGTGCAGCATAAGCGAGGGGAGCGGCGACCTTAGCTACGGCTGGGGCGGCGTAAGCAAGGGGAGCAGCGACCTTGGCGATGGCGGGGGCGGCATATGCCACAGGAGCAGCTACCTTGGCGACGGGGGCGGCAAGCGGAGTCTTGTGCACCACTGCGTTGAATCCGTTGACGGGGTCAGCGGAGTACTCCACGGTACGCACTGTGCCATCGGGCTCCACCAGGCTGTAGCTGCCCTGGACGACGTCTCCGCTGCGGCTTTCCTGCTGGCTCTTAGCGTCGCCGGTCAGAGCGTCCTGGATGTCGTAAGCGTAGCTGTACTGGGGGTTGGGGTCGTAGTCGGTGTCGACTGCCACGGGGGCCGCTACCTTAGCGACGGCGGGGGCAGCATAAGCGAGGGGAGCGGCGACCTTAGCGACGGCGGGGGCGGCGTAGGCAAGGGGAGCAGCTACTCTGGCGACGGCGGGGGCGGCGTAAGCAAGGGGAGCGGCACCGTAAGCCAGAGGTGCTCCGGGGGATACCACGGCGGGGGCGCCGATGATACCTGCGCGTGCGACGGCCACCAGAGCGGCGAGGATGAAGAGCTGGAAAGAAACAGTGTTCCGTATTTTAGACGTGTCGTTTGAATCCCAGCGTTTGGAGTTGTAAATGTTCGGTTGAAGCTGGCGTGATGCCTTACATCCTTAAGCCAGACAGTTGCCTTAACAGTTTCCTCCTGTAAGCTTCTAGGCACTATGCAGAGTAATGTTGACAAGGAAAGGGACCATGTTCCTTGTGCATCTGCTTGTTCAGAAGACGCTTGCTTCCCTGTGGTGATCCTGCATGCCACATCTATGTTCTAAGTAAAGTAAAAAGCTATCCCTGTAACAGGCCGTGAAGGCTTATAGGGTTGTGTGACGTTGAGGGTCCCACATTATCTAGACAATCGGCTCCAAGATGGCGGTAAGGTTGCCAGCCTTACGCGCCTGCCGCGCTTTACTCCCCAGGAAAATTATTTAATTTCTGGTACTCATTTGTGTTAGGGGCTGAGTGAACCCCAGGGCCATAGTGGGGCTGAGAGGATTAGGTCAATTGAAAAAAAATCCAGTGACCTCATCGGGACTTGAACCCGCGACCTTCCGGCTTGTAGCATAGCCCCTCAACCAACTACGCTACCGCGTGCCCCCTCTACGTTGCTTATTTAAGGACACTTTCACCATCGAGACTAGAGGTTATATGGCTCAGTTGGCAGAGAAGCCCGCAGCACGCGCAGAAGACTTTCCCCATTACCACTCTGTCCCCCACTAATCCCACACGTCCTGACCTGGACTCTAATCTGGGCCGCCGCAGAAATCCTGAAGCTGTATCTTATCAAATGCTTTAAACCCAGTTCACATTATCAGACTTATGTGCATGGTATAAAGACTTCAATGGACCCGGGGTAGCTCAGTCGGTATAGTGACTGTCCTACGGCAGGATGAGAGGTTATTCTTTTCACCGCATCGAGACCCGCTCTAGGGCCCACCCAGTCTCCTATCCCATGGCTACCGGCTGCTGTTTCCCCCGAGGCTTGTTCCTGACGATTCACCACAATCCAGTGGGCTACATCTCCACTTCCCACATGTTTTCTTCGTGACGTGATTAATTAAGCACAGGGACAGCTTCACGTACTTTGTGTCAAGTTTGTATATGTGATTATTCTTGTATATGGATATGTATACAGTAAACCATCGCTAATCCGGATCGAAATACGAAAAATGAAACATTCTCTTCACAGTTGGGTATATATTTAAAAAAAGAAAGAAAGAAAGAAAGAAAGAAAACATGGAAATAGAGCAAGAGGACTTTCAGACTGCGTTGAGGGCAGCTGGAGAGACTGAAACCGAGCAAGCAAATATCCAAGATTGGCTTCAGCTGGATGACGGAGGCCCTGAATTTCAGCTTCTTACAGAGGAAGAAATTGCTGCAGTGTCATTTTTATATTTATTTTCATCAACACTACCTGTATTATTAATTTTTTCATTTCTTTGTGTTCTAAATTCCTTTTTTTTTAGGGCTATGTTTTGCTTTATTAATCCGGGTGCCCTCCCCCCGCCCCAGTTAATCCCAATTAACGAGAGTTTACTGAAACAACAAGTAGAAATATGGCTTCATAGTCCGGGACATGGTTACCACCCTTGTCAGTATCACACAATGGAGTAGCCAGAACTCTGGAGAAAGTACAACACAAATACAGTATTCATTGTTAACTAATGTCCGGTAATTATAAATTTGGTTCTTTTGTAAAAATGCAGAAGGTACACAATTTTCTATCTTTAGCATCCGAACTACGCTGAATCGTATGTTACCACATGTATGTGACCATTAAAGTGGTCAGCATTATAACCAGTAACACACGGTGCAACTGTTATCTGACACGCAAACATGTGTATCTGGCAAAGAAATATTCTGATGGTACTGAGAGTGGAACATGGTTTATTGAAAAATAAATATACAACATTTTTGACCTTATAATAGAATTTTGAAATTTAGCTGCAGAGAAATGTTTTGAGTATGCAGCAGTTTCGTTTAAGTCCCCCCCCCCCCATTCATGTTTAAGTCTCTCAGTCCCAGAACTGTCATGCCCTGCGTGTGCTTTATCTATCAGCGTCATTCAGAAGACTTTATTGTCATCTGTAGCTGCCCCTGTAACAGGTCGTGGAGGCCCATAGGGTTGTGAGACGTTGAGTCTCCCACATTTTCTAGACAGTCGGTTCACAGATGTTGGTGAGATTGTCAGCCTTATTCGCCAACCGCCCTTTACCCCCAGGAAGATTCCCAGTGCTCATTTCTGTTAGAGGCTGAGTCGACCTCAGGTCTATAATACGACTGGAAGGATTAGATGAATTGAAAACTCCAGAAATTGTAAAGCAGTTATGTTCGGCTATGTGAGTCTCCACACAAAGTTATGCCTAATGCAGCAAACCGGTTTTCGGTGTGGCGTGGATATCATTTTCTTTGTACTCGGGAGGTTCCGGATTCGAATCTCCGCCAGGAGACTGGCTGTTTAGAATAATGTTTTTTCGTATCGTTCTTTGCGAGTAAGTGTAAAGATATTACCTCATATTAGGCCACGGCCACTTCCACTTCACTGTTCTGTAGTCATCGTGATGTCCGTTTTTATGTATAATATTGAAATTTAACTGTGAGTTCCGAAATTTCTCTAAAGAAGTCTCCACGACTCGGTCAGGGTAGTAAGACAAGAGAAATACGGCCGTGAGTCCCGCGGGTCCCGGAACCAAAATAGGACTGTGCTGGCGAGGGTCAGTAGCAATTTACCCGAACAAGCGATCAGTCTTTAGTTTCGCGACATATTGTCTGTTCTGCGAATATTGATAATTGTTTTTACGTTGATGTGTGAAGTGTTGTTAGTATTTACTGTGGAATGTGATTTTAGCAAATGAATATTTGGAAGGCGACTTTATTTTCGAATCATTCACGTAGAAACCCCGACAAAAAATTTAGCATCATCCTGTAGATTGGGATCTATGCTTATTTCAGTTTTCCTGTTCCGGTCGTTAGGAACACGTTCATTGATATGATAGACAGCATCACTTGCTGAGCATACATTTGGACTGTTAATGCAAATTACGGTTGTTCTCTTTCCTGACAATTTCTTAATTAGTAGTGCAATGCGTGTAAGTTGTTTTTGCTTAGCAACGATGTAATAGCCTAAATATGCAGGAATCGCATAACTTCTTATTATAACATCTCTTGTATCCATTATTTCTTATAAAGAATTCAATTTTGAGTTATATTTCAGATCTGCTGATAAGGAATGTATTTCTTGGGGACCAGATACCTTGTAACAAAAGAATTCATACGTATGATAGTATTTTCAGTTTGCCGTTGAATTTCAATGGGCCGTTCTCTGATTACCATATTTTGTACTGTAAGAGCTGCTCAGAGCGTGGATAAACAATCCATAAAGAAGTAATAAAGTAAATAAATAAAGAGCACACGGTAGCATAGTTTGTTGAGGCACTATGCTACAAGCGGGTTCGATTCCCGGTGAGATCATTGGATTTTTCAATTGACGTAAACTCCTAACAGAAATGAGTACCAGGAATTTTCGTGGGTGTAAAGGGTAGCCGGCGCGTAAGGCTGACAGCCTCAACGCCATCTGTGAGCCAATTTTCTAGAAAATATAGGAGCCTCGACTTCTCAAAACTCTATGGGCCTCCACGGACTGTTAACAGGAATAGCTTTACTTTTACTAATGTAAATAAATATCCATACGTCTACCTGTTTAACCGCTTATCGTATTCCCCCGCTACTAACTGGACCCCCTCCCCGTACGTCTACTGCATCATTCCCCTCCTGTACGGATCGACGTGACAGTGTACAGACACTGTTCAGAGAGCCATTACAACGCCAATGCGAATCAGGAGATCAGAGTCACTTTATGCAGCCCATAATTTCACTGGTTTATCCTCAGAAACTATTTTTTCCTATGAGACCCAAGTCTGTAGTGACTATGAATACTATACAAAAAGACAATCTCCGTGGCTTTAGTCCGCAAGCGAAATGTACCGACCGAACGACCGATTATAAATACCACTTGCCATTATATCATTACCGGAGTTCGTGATCAGATAGACATCTCGTTTGGTTCTTACTCAGTAGGTCGCGGGTTTAAACCTAGCCTCAGAAATGTGCCATCCTCACCGAGGCTCTTGTGGTTCTCCTCAGCCTCTCCGGACAGATGCCGGGATCCTGCGTCAAATTAAGGAAAGTTTGCTGTTTTCCTTATCCCCCCTCCCCAATTTATTGTGCCCTAATGCTACAGTGCGACCTGCTGACAGTGTTGTCAAACGAACCGTAAATAAGTAAATGCTTCAATCCGAACGCCATTGTGGAGCGGGCAGGAATTCTGCCTCGTATTCGCCAAGTCCTGTACGTAAGTTTTGTCTCACATTTCGTTGTCCGCAGTTTCCTCCCGTCCGTCAATCCATATGCCGAGATTGTTTCAGAAATTCGATCCGCGCTCTGTCCAATTCACACTGTGCAGTGTGGGCTGCCCACATGAGTCGTTTGTAGTGCAGAGAGTACTCACCTTGCAGGCCATTCTGTATGTGTCTGTGTGTGTGTTTGTCTTGCTGCTTCTGTGCACACACTTGGGGCACGCTCCCTATATATATACCGAGTGCTTAGTGACGCAAGCATTTCGACACTGACCACGCCTGGGCCGCGTGCCCTTGCCCGGGGGGCTGTGCTCGCCCCGATATTTGTCGCCATCATGGGGTCACTGGGTTACTCTGAGGACTGATCTAAATTACATAATAAGGAGCCTCGGCTAGTGTTTTAAGGTGTGAGTTTTTTTTGCAGTGCGTGAAAATTCTGCGTTATTGGTCCTAAATACGTAGGATTTGAGGTTCTGACACCGGTGGTTGTGAAGAGTTCTGTATTCCGGGATATAACGCACTGTAGTCCGTTGAAAGTCAACTTACGTTTCAGAGGAACATATCGTCTCCATCTTCAGGGTCGAAGCAGGAAACCGCTTTCATTCTGGTTTCTTGCTCGGAATATTCGTCGACTCAGAAGATGGAGGCCACACGTTCCTCCGAAACGTCAGTTGATTTTCAGCGGACTACAGAGGCTAGAATGGCTCCTTGATGTTTCGGCAAGTGGGTCGCCTAGAATGGAGACAGAGGATCCCTCCGAAATGATGGCGACTCACCCACCTACAAGACCTGCCGGACCTTAGAAAGCGAAATTACCCACAGTCGACGGGATGACTAGACATGCAGTACGCAAAAATGAATAAAAAACTCTAATCGTACCTGAAAGGGGAAAAAACACTCTGTTGGAGACATACGAGTACATATAGATTGGGGGATAATATTAAAGAGCACCTTGTCTATTTGACGAGGCTCTCAGTAGCTCAGACTATAGTATCAAATGATGACATGACTAGTGAACAATGAAGTGGAAATTTTATAGATGGGAGTGGCCGTGGGGATAATTTGAGTTAGTATCTCCTCATCTGACTGTAGGGACTGAAGAGAATTTGAACAAAAGTTAAGTCAGTTTTCGAGTCGAGATTTGAACCAAGGGGCTTTCGAACCGCCGTGGTTTTTTCTTGATATTTTCCAAGATCTGATATTCGAAAGTGCATATTTTATTTTCACCCCCAAAAAATGCTGTTAACGCTGCTTAACTATTTAGGATTTGAGGTTCTCTCAGCGGTTATTACGAAGATTAATGTCTTCTGGGTTACAACGTCGTGTAGTCAGATGCGTCAGCCGACGTTTCGAAGGATTATATCGCCTCCTACTTCAGGGTCGAAGAATAAGCCGTGCAAGAAACCAGCCTGACAGGAAGTTGGTGTAATTTCAACGGACTGCACTGCGTTATATCCGAGGAGATGCTTAACTGTGTAAGATTTGAGGTTTTCACGGCGGTGACTATGAAGAAAGCGGTCTGCTGGGATGTAGCACCGTGTATATGTGGTGTTAACTGACGATTCGGAGGAACGTATCACCTCCATCTTCAGGGTATAAGGAAAAATAAGATCCGCAAACGAAAAAGCAGTGAGAGCAGGTGCAAGAATGTTCTTGTTTTTCCTTCTACCCTGAAGATGGAGGCGATACGCTCCTCCGATACGTCGGTTAACACCACATCTACACGGTGCCGCATCCCAGAAGACTGCTTTCTTCACAGATGCTTAACTGATACAAGAAATGTAATGGGGTGAAGCATTTAACGGTTGGGTACTCATCTTGTTTTCTGCGAGGATGTAGCTGAATTTGCAAGAATTGCTCTGGAAATGGCTCATGAAGTAGTTCTGCAAGTGTTACTCCAGTCCGGACGGAGTTGCGCGACACCGCAAGTGCAAGGCGTGGCTCTGAGAGCTAACCGAGTCAAGAGCAACTGCTCTGGCCCCGCTGTGGCCTTTGCCACAGCGGCGGAGCGAATTTGGAAACCCGTCCACACTCAGAGGTGTGCAGAGCCAGTGGAAGCACGCAGCGTCGAAGTCGTCGGCTGTAAATCGTACAATATTCTGAATTTCGTGTGTTCTTCAGGAATGCAACACCACAGGAGTTTCGTAACTAGTGTTCTTTGAGAGGTGCTATTAGGATGAAGGGTTCTGCCTTCTGGGGTGTGTTGTCATATCGGGGAAACATATAGCTTCCATCTTCGGAATCGAATATATGCTATGATATTGTCACGTGTCCGATGTACCGTGAGTAATAACGGGTTCTGGATTGGATGGATTTATTGGCACTTCTGTTATAATTACACTCAATTCTAACAGCTCACAACCAGCGGGTGTCTAAGACTCGCTTCATTCCTTACTGGACTACAAATGTCTTATCTTCCACTGTGACTGACTTGGTTCTGATTTACGAGTCGGTCACTTCTTCAGCTTCCGTTTTCCGCTGGTTTGTACGCCACAGCTGAACACTCAACTCTGAGCTCTATTACGAATGACGGCTCACAAATTAAGTCTATAATTCGGGGCGAACCGAAGAGAGACCACCACCTCGAATTGTTCGTCTGTTATTGTTTCATCCGTTGCTACGAAACGCGCTTTCAACGAGCCGTTGTCTAGCAATGGATTACCCCGTCATAATATTCTTTATAGTCACCGCTGTCAGAACAACAAATCCGTCATATCATTACTAGGTTCAGTTCGAGGTTCGTGTAGCAGTGACTATGAATAATTCCATGTTCTGGAGCCCCTGCAGACTGGTAGAAGTTCACGAATCTGGCGGAGGAACTTATTGCTTCGACCCTGAAAATGGAAGTGATATGCTCCTCCGAAACGTCAGCTGACTTTCAACGGACTACACGGTGTCACATCTCAAGTGGCTGAGAGCAGGTTCTTGTGAACACGGTGATGAACCGTCATGATCCTTAAAGCTGGGCACTTGCTTGCTTCTCCTGGGACGCTCTCAGGTTCTGGGGAAGGGGCCCTTTCCTACGGAGTCAGTTAAACGTAATCACGTTGGTGCGTGTCAGCACAGACAGTAGCTTCAGAGCGGGACGGCGGCCTGTAGTATCGTGTTGCAGGTCCCATGTAGACAGAGCCGATATTATGAGTTACCGGGTACTCAACGAACGGGCACGTAAGATGCCGGAGGTTAAATTTATGCTCAATCGGCATTGCAGTGTCCAACTGTGCCAAGAAACATATTCGTAGCGTACCTCTAGATAGCAGCTCCTCTTAGTGCATACTGTTATTCTCTTTTGATTAGTAAAAGGTGAAGCTATCCCTGTAACAGGCCGTGAATAAAACCGTACCGATTTGTGGACTTCGAAGAGTCGATCGTCGGGAGTTGTCTCTTTGTGTGTAATTTCCTCCGTCGCCTCTGATGGCTACGGTTCGTTGCAGTGACGTCATAGTAATGTAGTCAATTCATAAACGGAAAGCCACAGGGTGATGAAGGGATGTGCATAAGAAAGAGTTTCATAATATCGTTTCTTCTTTTAGGATATTATTGCGATGATAAAATGAAGAATGGGATGGGCAGGGCATTTAGCACGTATAGGAGATACTAGACATTCCTACAAATTTTATGTCAAAGAAAACTGAAACTTGTACGGGGAGGTGGGAGGATAATATTAAAATGAAGCCTCTGTGGTCTAATGGTCAGAGTTCCTGGCTACAGACCCAGAGGTCCCGGGTTCGATTCCCTGCGCTACCAGACTTTCTGAGAACTACTGGCGTAGGACTAAGTCCCTTGTACTGCGGCCACTTCTGGCCTATTGTACCAGCCCCAGATGATAGGTGAAGGTGATTGTGCAGCAGTTGGTGGAATGAAGATTGGCAGGGGAAACCGAAGTACTCGGAGAAAACCTGCCCCAACGCCACTTTGTCCACCACAAATCCCACTTGACCAGACCCGGGATCGAACCCTGGCCGCCTCGGTGGGAAGCCAGCGACTAACCGCTTGAGCTATGGCGCGGCCATGAAACGGGTTTCACTAAGTTACGTGAGGATAATTGAGGAGCTATATGAATGGAGAAGTGGCGGCACCGGTGTAGAAAACCGAAATTAATGGTCGTAGGGATTCATTGCGCTGACCACGCGACACCCTCTATCCGCTAAAGTTGGCACTAACTTCGCCGACAAGCGGCGGTCGCTCGGTCGGTATAGTTCGCGTGCGGACTAAAGGCCACGGAATTTGCAGGGTGTGGTCTTGTTCACAACTGAATTCAGTGGCCTACTCTTATGAACACGGCAATGAATCCTCTGGTGCAATAAAATACAAGGAATTGTTGAGTGGTTGAGCGAATATTACAATTGATGAAGGACTGTCCTCCATTGAATTAGTTGATCGTGTTTTGCGAGGACCAGCAAAGTCAAGATTACATTGGTAAGGCCCCGAAAACATTTCATCCGCTAGCGCACTGTTAGTTGACTCGACTGAAAGTACCATTCTTCGTGTCAAGTCTGTTCAAGGGAATGAAGAGGCAGAACAGCGTTACAGAATGGGCAAGAAGGTCAACACCTTGTTTTATTAACCGACAGTGATTTCTCAGTCTTGAGGTAGGAGAAGAGCGCATTTACAAAGAAATGTTTGGTATGTAGTTAACTGTAGATAGCCTCAGTGTTGACACTGGCGGCCTAACCCAGAGGGGCAACCATTGCGGCGACTGCTGATGGATATCCACGGGGCAGCTACCGTAGCCATGGGGGCGGCAAGCGGAGTCCTGTGCACGACGGCGTTGAATCCGTTGTCGGAGTCAGCGGTGTACTCGACGGTACGACGGGTGCCGTCAGGCTCCACCAGGCTGGACGACGTCTCCGCTGGGGCTTTCCTGCTGGCTCGTAGTGTCGCCGGTCAGAGCGTCCTGGATGTCGTAAGCATAGTTGTACTGGGGGTATGGGTCTACCGTGGCGGCTTTAGCTACTGCGGGGGCGGCGTAGGCGAGGGGAGCGGCGATGGGCCTAGCAATCGTGGAGCCATAAGCCGGGGGAGCTCCAGGGGCCACGACGGCTGGAGCCGGCCGCGGACAGGATGAAAAGCTGTGACAACAAAATATAGCATTACTTTCTGACCTACAGTACTGCTTCAGGAGCACGAACTGGTCTGTCGCTCGCGCCTTGGGGACTGCACTGCAGTTGCTGAAATCCGAACCC